TCCTTACAATGTATTTTGTAGCTCAACTTGAAGCAACTAGTATCACTCAAAATTCGTTGAAGAAACTAGTATCCCTCAAAATATTGTTATGAGCATGGCTGTCCCCTTGAAGGAGGGGCAGAATAATTGATGGAAATTCAACTCTAAGAGAACACTTTACCAAAAATATTTTAATCCTTTTTGATGTACAAAAAGAAGAAGTTGTACATTTTCTAATGGATGATTTGTCCTTTCTAACCAACTCTTTGCTTGCTTATCCAGTTGGTAAACCACAATCATTTTTTAATAACTACTTTTTACTGAGTTTTCACTTCAATCCAGTACCATTCGGAGCACTAAATGCATATGATTTCCTTTACCTACAAACAACACTTTGTGAAGTGGGTGTTAGTAATTACCTAATTATGTAGATGAGTAAACAGTTGCCAAGAGTTTCAGTAACTTGCTGGAGGTTATACAACCAAAGTTTAACATTTATGTCCTTAACTACTTCTAGCTTACTGCTGTTTCACAAGCTTCCCAGAACTTCCTATGCTCTGATTTCCACTGCTAAAGTTGATCTCTTTGCTAAAGGAAGTTTTTGGAAAATCCAACTAATTAATTTAAGATAGAATTTTCTTAATGTTTTTTTTCTACATAATGTCTAACCCCTACTGATGTTTTCTCAAATACCATACCATTAACACTTCTTACAGTGATCTGCTTGGTTACCATTTAGTCCTTGATTCCTTTGAAATCTGACTTTTAACCACACCATTACATACTGAATAAATGCTACACAGTGTAAAAAATAAGGCTGCTTTGAGATAAAAGAATCCTCTATCTCAGGATAAAAATTGTTATCATGCCTTAATTTCTAATAATATTTAAAAATTTTTTATGTCAGTGAAAAAAATGTATGACAGTGAAAAATTATGTCAGTGAAAAATTTTAGTTTGTGTAGTCACCAATTAACTTGAAGAGTAGAATCCATGTCTCACCTTATTCAGTTTATTTAACCTCTTTTTTTGGAATTTACCCTGCTAACTACTTTCATGTTTTATTCTTGGTAACTTGGTTCTCTCTATCTGGAATGTCCTTGCCCCATCTTCATCTATTCTAAATCTAATTTATTTTTCATTACATTTCAATATTTTTCCTGATTCCTGCCAAGAAAGGTTATTTTGGTATCTCTGTTATAACACCATAATTTTCCTGGAATCCTTCTTCTTGTCCCTGTATCTATGCTGATTTCTTCTTCAAATTTTTTAGAAATTGTTTCATAGCCATCTTTATTCTTTCACCATTCCTGGCACAATGAATAACACATATAAGTTTTCAATCAATATTTGTAAATTGAATTAAGATTCTATTATAGTATTTTGTCAACAATTAAGAACTTGACCAATAAAAACATTTGCTGAAAAAATAATAAGCTGGAACATTCCTCATTTGAGCAGCTCTTATCCATTTAAGTATGTTCTTGTCTGTCTACCTCATGGCCCTGAAAATGATACAGGAGATAATCAGATAGTAATTTATTTTAATTTCCCATCATTAAAAAAACCCTATGTGTATCTTCAGAGAAATCAAAGCAATTCAAAATAATATTCTTGTTAGAGTGAAATTCATCACAGCAATGCTTTATACCATCTTAAAAATAAATGCTATTTGGAACCATTTAGAATCAGAATAAACTTATATGAAATGCAAATGATAGAATTTCAAGGATTTTTTTCTACCATATGTGTAACATTTCCTGTAAAGATGTTATTTATTTTTGCAAAATAAAAACAATAACATTAAATGCAGTGCACTCTAAATTCGTCGGTTCGAGGATTTGGAGAACTGGGAATATGGTTTCTCTACAGGAGTCTTAAGTGAGTGTTGATATTTCAATTAGTGCCAATTCACAGCCCACAAGAGCAGTGGAGAACTACCATCTGGTGGCCAACTACACAGAGAGAGGAGATGAATGTCTCATGGATATAACTAACTTCCTGACAGATAATTTCTCTGTGAATAAATCCTCAGAGCAATTCAAGTGTATATTTATTTCAGCTTTTTATTGGAATAGATGAGACAGGTGAACAAATATCCATTAAGGAATTACTGCCTTTCACAGAACTTACGATGACAAGAAGGCAATATAAGATTCTCAATCATGCACAGAAGAATTGTGCGGTGTGGTTTTAAGAGAGCCAATGGAACATTTGCACAGAATAAATGTCTGTTGTCCTCTTAGATTAATATTCCAAAAATTGAATTTAAAGCCCCAAATCATGTGGATTTATTTTAAAGTTCAGCTATAAAACTTCCCAAAGTTATAACCCAGACAATCAGGAAGACTTGGAGCTAACAGTTTTGTGGCTCATGCTACTCGAGGATGAATATGAAAATGCTGTATTAGACAGCTCACTGTCAGTTTCTAAAAATCATTACATGCACAGAAACTCTATTTGGCCCACCAAATCAGCACTCTCCCATCCCATATTTCCTAGCATATTGTGTGTTTTGCTGTTTTTCATCATGAGCCAAAAACAAGCATTTGCAAAAAGGTAGAGTCCATCTTCACAAAAAAAAATTTGGTTTCTTCCAAAACTGAGTTATGTGAGAAAAGAAACTAATGACTTTATTAATCAAGTTTCCTCAGACTAAACCCTGAATTGTATTAAGCTTATTGAATATTTAGGTTATCAGCACTTGGGCTACACTAGCATTTACTTTCTATTTCTTCTTTAATGTTACCCTTCAAAATAAATTGGTGACATAATGACCCTTTTCTGAATGTTTATTAAATGACAGATCTTTTCATAAATCATTATATGCATTTATCACTTCACATTGAAAACCTACCTCTAGGGTAGTTATTATCTCCATTTTCTGATATGGAAACTTGCCCCAAATCACAAGCTGCGAAGCAGTTGAGCCAAGTTTTAAACTCAGTTTTAACTTCTATGCCTGTGTTCATGGTGGTATGACGTTTATCTTAAATATCTGTATTTGCAAACACGTACTGTGTATCCAAAAATACTGCATCTTATTTAAGGTCTCCTGTAAAATATTTCTTATAGTAAATAAATTATCATAATTCAGTCAGCAATATTTGAGATTTTGGGATGCATGTGTGAAACAGAAAAAAGGTAAGATTTATTTTAAGAAAATATACTCTTTAAAAAAAATACTTCGTTAAGGTATTACTGACATACAAAAAACTACACATAATCAATGTATAAACTCTATGAGTTTGGAAATTATATACCTGTGAAGGAATCACCACAATCTATTCCATAAGCATATCTGTCACCTCCAATGTTTCTTCCAATTCTCATTATTAATATTATATGATAAAAGCAAACATAATGTCTACCCTGTAAACAAATTTTTAAGTATACAATACAGTATTATTAACTACAGGTGCTGTGGTATACAGTAGATCTCTAGGATTTATTGATCTTGTATAACTGAAACTGTGTATCTTCTAACTTAATAACCTCCTGTGTTCCCCCCCTTCTAGGCCCTGGCAACCACTATTCTATTCTGCTTCCATAAGTTTGGCTACTTTACATTTCTTATAAAGTAAAGCCTTGTAAGTCTCTCATCAATAAAACTACTTGATGGTTTCACATGTGTACACCTATCTCCAACTCATCAAGTTGTTTATATTAAATATGTACATCTTTTAGTATGTCAATCATACCTCACTAAAGTGGTTGAAAAGAGAAGAAAAGCAGAACACTAAAAATTAGCTTCTAAACAACAATGGAAACAATCAACAAAATTAAAATATAACCTATAGAATAGTAGAAAATATTTACAACCTACATGTCTGATAAAAGGTAGCTATCCAAAATATATAAGGGACTCCTACTACTCAATAGCAAGAAAACAAATAATCCAATTAGTAAATGAGCAAAGGAACTGAATCAACATTTCTTCAAGAAGACATACAAATGACCAATATGTATATGAAAAGGTGTTCAACATCATTAATCAACAAGAAAATGCACATCAAAGCCACAATGAGATATTACCTCACACCTGTAAAGATGACTATTATCAACAACAACAACAGCAATAACAACAACAACAGCAACAACGAACAAGTTTTGGTCAGGATGTCGAGAAAAGGGACCCCAAGCACATTTCATGGTACTGTAAATCAAGGCAGCCATTATAGAAAACTACATGGAAGTTACTCAAAAATTAAAAATAAAACTGCCATATGATCTATTAATACAATTTCTGAGCATTACTGATATCATAATCAACATCTGAATCTTGGTGATATATCTGCACTCCTATATCTATTGAAGCATTATTCACAATCACCAAGACATGGGAAACAATCTAAATATACATTGGCAAATGAATGGAACAAAGTCATGACATATACCCTCAATACATACAATGAAATATTATTCAGCCTGAAAAAAAAGGAAATCTTGCCATTTGTGGCAAAATGGATGAATCTGGAGGCTAAATATATGCCTTTATTTATTGAATAATATGCCTTATTATATTTATTTGTGCCTCTAAATCCTTTTAGACTAAATATGATATTTCTATATAGCTATTAAAGTGTTTTTACTGGTATAAGACAAGCACTGATTGCTTTATTTATTGATTGTTTTTTGCTCAAAAATCTTTAATGATATAAGAAGAGAAATTCTGCAAGCTACATGATGAAAATTGTTCTCTTTTTCTGAACTGAACTTAATTATAACATTATTCTTTTGTCAGCTGCTCTCATTAAAGATTATTATATATGTACTAGATTTATTTCAGGTTTTTTTTTTTACACAAAGCAGCACTGTTTCCTAAAATAAAATAACTGAAGTTTTTCAGGAACATATTTACTTTTATTAAATCTCACCAAAGATTTTCGGAATACAACAACCTGCTAATATGAACATTTGCTGTCTATATTATCACATATAAAAAATTTTCATTACAAATATGTACAAATAATGTAAGAATTTAAAATAGGACCTTGACAATATTTATTAAAATTAATAGCAGTGCTCACTTTGGCAACACATATACTATAATTGGAATGATATGGAGAAGATTAGTGTGGTCTCTGGACAAGGATGACACACAAATTTGTGACATATTCCATTTAAACCCCCCACCCGCAAAATAGTAGTAAAAACAAGGAGTACAAAAATACTTTTAAAAGAACATGGTTATAATGAAGAACAAATTGGAAATGTGTTTAGCCAGTATAAATTTTGCTCAAAAATGTATTCTTGAAGCTTGGCTGAATTTATCTACAGCCTTGTTTCAATGATGTCAGCAGTCATCATGGAATTGGCAAATCCTGGCAAGACTCCCATCCAAATCAATGTCTTTCTTCTTTATATTGCTATACAGGGCCAAGGTGACACAAGGTGACGTGGGAAAAGTATTAAGTGATATAGAACTAATGGAGACAGTAATTGCAAATGTATAATGACCTAAAATAATACCATTCAATAATTTACAAAATTAGAGAACTTTCATGAACATAGTAATCCTAAATCAGTTACCTCTAGGTAAGTTATGTTTGATATTGCTTTTACTCTATTATAGACATATTATGACTGCTATCCTTAATGTAGAATTTCACCTCTGCTCTATTTCTGTCTGAGCCTGTGTAGAACCATTAGAAGCTGATTAGAATCTATTCTGGTGATAAGTGTTTTTCTGTGTGTAATAGAAAAGAGATTCAGAGTCCGTGATACCAGGAAATCATTCCGCAGCTGTGCTCTCTATCTCAACTCAGCCCTGAGGGAAGAAAGGCAATTGGTGTTGAGGAGGACTATTCACACAGGACATCCATAAACTCAATAGCTATTTTTCTTTTGTGACATATTAAAGATTATTAGCAGTTAAAAAATAGTAATAAGTGGTTATTTTTAGGTCTTCATCTGTTTCTTAGGTTCAATTACTTAACAGATCCAGACTGGGTGTTTTTATTTTATTTTTTTTATTTTTTGGTATTTTAACAGAGTCCTTGGTTAAAGCACTATTATCTTCATCTATGCTTGTTTACTTTTTTATTATGTTACAATGTAAACTCATGAACAAAGACACATATCAAAAATTCCACACTTAAATAAAAAAAAAATAAACAACCATATAAGCTAAAAAAAAAATAAAAAATTCCACACTATAGTATGCTTTGAATGTATTCCTCCCCTATCCTGTTCTCCTACCTTCTCTCATTTTAGAATAACCACTATTCCAACAATATTATGTAATAGGTATATTATACTATATTATATCATGATATACTATACTATGCTATACACCGTATTATATCCATATATACGCCTACCATAGTATACATACTACTTTTATCACACATATAGGCAATGCTATATATTGTACTTATGTTGACTAATTTGGGATTATATAAAAAAGTATCAAGACAGTATACCATAATGCATTATATTTTAAGTTAAAATTCCTGTTGATAGTTATCATCTCTCAATCCTTTAAAGATAACTTTTCCTGACTTCTGGCTCCTGTGGCTGTTGTTGAGAATTCCATGGTCCTTTCAACAGTTATTCACATGCAGGTCATCTTACCTTTTCTCTAATTCAAGATTACTGTCTTCAGGGTTTTTTTTGTTTTATTACACTGTTTCTTAGCATAGATTTCTTTTTGTTAATCTTGATTGGAATACATTGACTCTGTGGATCTATATTTTTATAAGTGGAAAATTTATTCCTAATATGACTTTAAATATAGTCTTTTCAGCATTCTTTCTAGTCTTTGAGGAAAACATGGCATTATAAGAAAAGCTAGTGATATTCATATGCCTAGAATAAAAAGCATATGAGATGATGAATTAAATATGTGTAGCAGCAACCATATAAAATGCAAATTTGGTATGTAAAGATATAAATAATAATTAAAAAATGACTCGGTGTCTGCAGAGAAAGAGACCTATGCAATAACTATGTTTTTTTTCTTCTTGGTGAAAATTCAAATTAAATCATTAATAGTTTAAAAAGAACCTAGCTAAGAAACAGCTAAGGTATATCTCATTCCAAACTAAATAAAAGCAGTAAGTATTCCATTACTTTCACTGAAGTAAATTCCAAAATCATTTTATATTTATAAATGTGTTTTTTTCTTTTTATTATTTTTTTAATTTATTTACTTTTTCAATACATTTGTCTCTGCCTTCCCCCCACCACTTTCCCTTGCCCCCTCTCTCCTTCCCTCCCTCAGCTCTTCCCCTTTGGTTTTGTCCATGAGTCCTTGCTCTATGTTCCTTGACTTTCCCCTTCCCTTCCCTTTCCCTGCCCCCCACTTCCCTCTTGTCTCTGTTGATTTCTTTTCCTTTCAGTGTTGCTGGTCATATTTTCCTTGTTTATAAATGTGTTTTAAACACTTATCTTGTAGTAGAACCATTCTTTCTGCTACTATGACTTTTGGCATAAAAGAAAAATCCTAATATAATTTTCTCTCATTATTTTATTGTTTTCCCCCCTCCTTATTTCTCTCTCTCTGTATGTGCGCACACATACACACACACAAAACAAATATTTATATCAGAAGAGAGAGGATAAAAGACAATAAAATCATATCAGCTTATTAGCTTTTGAGCCAACCGTAAAGTTAGGTAATTATATTCTTGCCACTAAGAATTATTGATCATATTCAGACTTAGTTCTCAGCATATTATGTTTGACTTTAATATTTATATAATTTGTTTGCAGTTCCTCCCCTCTACTCAAATATTTTATAATATGGTGGAGAAATTGAATGAACTAAAACAAATGTATTATGTATCTATTTTCAGTGATTGATGTATTTTGAAATGTGTGGCTTCTTTATGATGGAGGTTTGTTTATATCCAGATCATTTCTTTGTACTCAGAATTCTCCTAGGTACCTCCTACTTTCCTGCCCATGGTGTGCAAATAAAGTTTTAAACTTGCAAGAAAAAATATAATTATAGAAGCAAACCCTTTGAATAAATGCATTCCCAAAATAGATCTCCCTTCTCTCTCTCTTTTAAATTATCCATGTCCTGCTTCTCTTCATTACAATTAATTTTTTAATTTTCTGTAAGTAAATTATTTGAACAAGGCTATGTATAGAAAAAAAAACTATATAAATTATAGAAATGGATAGTTATTATTCAAGCATTCCAATATACTTTAAAATCTACATTGGTGAGTGCACTGAGATGTGAGAATACTAAGTAGAATGGCAACTTTTAGAAGGAAGCAAATTTATGTTATCCTTTTTACTTTCATTTTAGTTATAAAGGATTTCCATGTTATAAGATGATGATGAGATGTTATAAAATATTGACTGAACAAAGAATTTTGGGTGGGAGAGAACCTATTGGTGATAGAGCAGGGCAAGATGAGTCAAAGCAAAGTATAACAATGACAACAATTCAGATTTGCATAGTAATTTGTAGCTCGTGAAGAACTTTAAGACCCATAATTTCATCTGAGATGTAAAATTTTTTGATTAATGAGGAGATGGTATTATTCCAATTTTAAATATGAAGAGACTCAGAAAATAAGAACTGTCATAACCAAGATAGCTAATTTGAAATTTACAAAACTGGGTCAAATGGTACAGAATAGTTATGGTAGAAAAATTTATATTTTTCATAGGGGAAAATACTCCTCAAAAATTTAAGTAGACAGTTTAAATTTAATAGTTTCAGGGTCCTGTCTCCTAGTGAGTGCAGTGAGTGCCTACTTGAGAGAATTTTAACTATGGTAAGGGAAGTACGTAGAGCAGACAGTTAGCTACTCAGCCTACCAAGGTAACATTGGGCACCTTACGAAATGTATGAAATTGTTTCAAAGATGATTATAGCAATTCCTGCAATGGCCCGCCAACCAAAAGGTAAAGTCAGTGTCCCCATCCCTTGAATACAGGCTAGCCATGGGACTTCGGCATCGTTTTATTAGGCTTTTAAAATAGACTTGCAGATGAAAAAATATTATGACTATTACTTTATTATCTCTCTTTCATTATTATAAGACTCAGCATAGCACTGTCTTAGTCAGCATGGGTTTTTATAACAAAATACTGTAAGTTGGGTGGCTTAAACAAGGGGCAATTGATTTTTACTTTTCTGGAGGGTGGCAAGTCCAACAATAAAGCTCTGGCAGATCTGGTAGTTGGTGGTGACAGCCCACTGCCTTGTTCACAGACAGCCTTTGTCCTTACCTTTTGGAAGGGATGAGGGAGATCCATGGAGTCTCTTTTATATGAGTATTAATGCCATTCACATGGGCTCTACCCTCAAGACTTTATACGTCTCAAAGACCTCATCTAATACTATCACATTGGAATTAGGTTTCAACATATACATTTTAGGGGACACAAATATTCAGTCTATAGGAAGTATTTCATTAATCTCTGGACACTCCTTTATTTCCATAGCAACTCTTGCAAAATACTTGACCTAAAATGCACATACAATAAATGTTTGTTGAATACATAAATAGATTGTACATGTGACTGAAACGGTGAGTTTATTATTCAATATTTATTCTTCCTTATCATCTTACTAACAGCGCTCTGATTTTGTTGTATATGTAAGTGACCTTAAAAACCTGCATTTCCTAGCATCTTTTGTAAATATGGGATACAGTTCTGGCCATTGTGATTTAAGGGAAAGTGTAGTATGTGCCTAATTCCTTAAAAGGAAGTCATCTCAGCCAAAATAACCCTTTGACCTTTTATTCTTCCCAGCTTTCAGCTTGGAATATGCTTGCGATACTGATGCTCCACTAGCCATCTGTCACAACAATATGAGAGAACATATTAAGGAAACTGAGCAGGGGGCAAAAACAAACTGGGACTCTGATGGTTAAGTCTGCCTTAAATTGTAACTATAGAAGTTTTATTATTTGAAGAGAAATACATACTCATCTTGTTAAAGTGTCTATTATTTACTTGGGTTTTCTGTTTTACATGGCTGAACTCAATATATTATCCTCATGCAGGGTACATCATTCCATTTCCACATGACCAAACTGAGGTACCTAGAGGTTAAATGATGCCAAAGATATAATATCCAAAGTAGGTTTCAAAGTGGAAGGGGAATTCCTGTTCCCTCTCCCATTCCCCCATCCCTTCTCCCTGCCCATTGTATTTT